TGTAAAAGATGCTGTTCCAGACATACAGTACCCGGGCGTTTACAAATTAAAGTGCCTCTGTGGTAGTAGTTACATTGGAGAAACCAAACGACATATCTCGGACCGCATCCGCGAACATAAAGCAGACTTGAAACACGGTAGAATGAACTCCACTGCCGTGGCAGATCACTGTTATAATTCAGTGGGCTCACATGACATTGACTTCTCCAAGACGGAGGTTCTTTGCAAACCAACCGGCTACCATGAGAGATTCGTTCATGAGGCCATTCACATATACAAGCACAGAGACAATTTCAACCGAGAAGATGGATTCTGGCTTAGTAACCATTGGAAAGATGTTTTAAACCATTTCTGTTCTTAATTAATTGCATTTTACGATGACCTTCAGACCGCAGCTCTTTCGCCAGCATTGACTCTTAATACCTCTCACACCACGGTTAATGGTATGGTTTACAACATGGAGTATAATAGCGCCTCGCAGCTGTCTCTCTCCCCCTCCTCTGTTCCGACCATGGATGAACTTGTCGTCTGAAGGGGGCCCGTAGCTATCCGTGTTGCTAAAGTTGAGGGTAAGAATCCACCCATTTTTTCGCCATATAGCATTGTGATATATAACGACTTATTGTTGTTAGCTTAGCTGATTGGAGAATATAGAGTTTATTGATAACATTAAGGTAATTTATATTTTAGTTTTTTTTGTATTGGTTCACTATATAGTACTGTTAATAGCTCAGATGTGTAGGCCTTGACTTCAACATAGCCATTTCTGTGACCAGTCACTAGCTAATCACTCAGTTATTTCAATGCTAAATTCACCTAGTTATTTCAATGCTAAATTCTCCTGTTTGATTTGTACTAAGTGCCTCAGTGAATGTGTATGCTCTTACTTTAACATAGCTATTTCTGTCACCAGTTACAAGCTAATCACTCAGCTATTTCAATGCTAAATTCTATGCTAATTCCTTTGTCAAGGGGTGCCTCTGTGGATGTGTATGCTTTAACTTAGCTATTTCAATGCTAAATTCTATGCTAATTCCTTTGTCAAGGTGTGCCTCTGCGGATGTGTATGCTTTAACTTTTAGCATAGCCATTTCTGTGACCAGTCACAAGCTAATCACTCAGCCTTTTCAATGCTAAATTATATGCTAATTCCTTTGTCAAGGCGCTTTGTTTCCTCTCACACAGCTTAAAGGTCGTGATCTGAACGTGGCTTTTTCACTCCAGCGCTGTCCTACCAGACAGTCTCGTCCCATCACCTGATGAAGGCCGCTTGTGTTGTGGCCGAAACGTCGTGAGAATATTATTGTGTTATTTTATTTTATCAATTTATTATTTTATTCTCATTCTACGTGACATTTATAAATAACGCGATCTAACCCAAAAACGTGTATTATGAAATCGATGTGTGTTAGTCGATGTATGTGTGTAAGTCCATGTGTGTGTGTGAGTCGCTGTGTCTTTGTAAGTCGATATGTGCGTGTGTAAGTCGCTGTGCCTGAGTGTAAGTCTGTGTGCGAGTCCATTAGTACGTGTGTGTGTGTGTGTGATTTGATATGTGTGTCAGTCGATGTGTGTGTGTTCGTCAATGTGTGTGCGTGGTGTGTGTGTGTAGACAACTAACATTTTGAAATTAAGTTAGCACATTGTTTATATTTACGTGTTTGTCTAAGTCCATGTGTGTGTGTGAGTCGATGTGTGTGTGTGTGTCTAAAGTCGATGCCTGTGTGTGTGAGTCCATGTGTGTGTGTGTAAGTCGATGTGTTTATATTTATGTGGGTCCATGTCTGTGTGTGTGTAAGTCGATGTGTGTGTGTCTTTATCGCCCAGGCAATGCCGGGAACTTCCCGCTAGTATTATTAATCGGAAGTTTGTATCACGTTTACAGGTAATTTATAGGTAAGTTAGCACTCAGAAAGCAGCCAACCAGCCTGTGTGATGGTGCTAAGTATAAAATTATGTTAATGAGTCCCATTTGGTTGCAGTGCATGACGTCTTATTAGTATTATTATATAAGATGAATCTAAAGGTTAGAGAGATAGAGTGGACAGGAGTTTATACCATGGGGCTTGATAAGAATTACATTTTTTTCCCGGTTAAATATTTGTAAATTGGCATATGATTAACTACATGTTAGAAGCAATTGAGTAATCTACGAATGTTGAACTTCTTTCGCAACGTACATAGCCAACCGCGTAAAGAAATGAGTTTTCAATCTTGATTAAAAAAAACATAGAAATAAAGAGACCTGTTTCCTTTAAACTGAAAATTTAAAATGCTACTGGAATGTTGCATTATGGCTGGAACACTGCATTCTGTGTAGTTAGTGGTGGAGTATATGTGGAAAGGTGTGGACAGTGTGTGATGATGTGTACATCAAGTAACAGTGTGAGTCTGATGGTTTTAATTGACAGATATGGGTAGTTTATCATCTTGGATAGATAGTATGATGTCCTGAATGGAGAGGGCTGTTTGCTGTTATTAGTTAATTGTGGTGCTGGATAAACATTGTGAACAAATTTAATGATGGCATTAATTTACTATCTGGAAAACGTGGCAATGCTAAGACATTCATTGATGTGTCTTCCAAAGAAGTCAAGTTCGGAGCCTGTATAGGATTTGTTGTGACAAATGCCCTAAAAAGAGGTTTGCATAGCTAGGTTACATGCATGTGCCCATGTGCCACAACAATAGTTTGGATCCTTTCACATCCACTGGAGAGGAAATTAACAAGGGTGAATCGGCGATTGGCCAACCTAGGCAGTTTCAGTTGACGGGGCTTGTTCACCACTGTGTCAGCACTCCTAAACCATGATTATTGGGAATGATGCTGTGGATGGAACGTATGTCCATTATGAAGATCAACGTTAAGGACCTTGAAATCTATGGTTCTTGAAGAGTCGTGATGTAGGGCATGATTGGTGTCTTGAAATTAGGTCAGAAAGGAAACTATTGTTCCAATCAATACCAACACTTTCAGCACGAACACTTTTGTTGATGACCAGCCTTACCCGGGGCCCCTTCGCTCCGTCTCCCCTACATGTATCTTTCCTGCCAATCTGGATCTCTGGGTTTTTCTTATAAACCGCTAAACTCTTTTCCCACCTTCCTTGCCAGGTTATTTCTATGGGCGTAGTCTCTTGTCCTTTTCGCGACCCCTACATTTAATCTTGACCGTGTCCCCACATGAACTTTACATGATGTACAAACAGAGAAACTGTATTATCCAAACAGCTAGAAACTTGATCAGCAAATCAACTGCAAGATAATTTAACCGAGTGGCCTGGGTTGTGTGCTGCTAATTTGGTAGGAAATAAGTGGTTGGTTGAATTTGAGGTTTTTGGCAGGCTCCGGTAGGATGGCAGCCTGCCTAATAATGGTTAGCAGTGTGTCTTTGGCTGCCTGTTGATTACTCGCTTTCAGGTTATGGTCAACTTTCTGTAAAAATAAATATAACTCATCTGTCTGAATGCTTCATCCCTACAGAGATCTGTCCACCAGATCACCACGGATCTGCATTTATAGGCCAGCTTAATAACGATATTATAATACACCTTGAGAGTTCTGAGCTTAACTTGGTTAGGGGTGAGGTAGAACTTTGGATTGTTTGGTAACGTGACGTTTCTGTACACAGTTACTTATTTGAACACTAACAGAAATAAATGAATCCGTAGACTGTGGCCTGGTTCTTTTTTTATTTCTATCACTATCTTAATCTGTTTACTGTAACTTTCCCTCATCCTATGTCCCTGTGTATCTGGGTGCACATTTCCTGAATCTCTGTATCAGTCGATTGCATGTATGGATAAAGAAACATGGTATGAATTAAGTAATTATTAATTAATGCTTGATGGATGAATGTAATGGTATAAATGAATTAATGCAAGGATAAAATAAATGAATGAATCAATGGATAATCAAATGCATGTCTGTAAGTGTAACACACGTGTATATAGAATGTTCTATTTTATTTCACAATGTTTTAAAAGGATTCACAGAATAAGGAAGATTGTTAAATAATTCTCAACCAGCCAACTTTTTGTAGCAGTTGGTTTGAGATGGTGATGTTTGCCAATATTGAATAATAATGGTATTTCCAATCAACTAAACCAGCTTATCTTTTGCCTTGTTAGACAGTTTGCGTGTGGCACATACCTGTCTTGTCAAATATTTAGTTTTTCAGGGAAAACCGAAACTTTTCTCACCACTTCCCTGTAAAAGAAATTTACTTCAGTGAAGATCTCCATTTTCACACTGATCCACAATTTACACACATTGGCAGATGAAGATGAACCATTGTGTCATGAGCTAAACAATCAATATCCATTGATTGCTATACTGCACTTCTATGCTCCCATATCTACACTCCATTACTGACCAGCGTGGTGAAGGCTAAACAACTCCCTACAACCTGCACGGCGTTGGACGGTCTTCATCCAGCATTGGATTGACAAAAGCGACGCACAAGTACAAGACATGAACATTACACAATCCTCTCCATATCTCCCGGTTTAGTAATGCATACGAACACATTCTTTTTTCAATCACTTTAAATGTGTGTATACCGTTAGGACATGTGCTGAACACATGCCACTCCAGCACGTGTCGTGCTACGATTTTTTTTACTTTTAAACTAAACTATTTATAATTTAACAAGCAAGGCCCACTGAGCTATATAACTATTTTTCAGAAGCGACCTGGCCACAAATGATAACGAAATGGCTTATCGTGTGGAAATTTATAGCAACTAAATAGTCTAAGCTTTTTTTTTTAAATGTGGGGGGTAACAGGTGACCTGGAGAAAATCCTACGTGAAAAAGAGGTGAACATGCAAACGACAAATTAACAGGTGTTAGGGCTGGGATCGAACCCACGAACGATTGCACGCAAGGTGAGGTAGTTAACATCTCGCGACTGTAGTGCCCCTTTACCTTAACAATCATCAGCCAATGAAGGCTTCCCCGAGCCGTCACGGTTCTGCAGTGCAACAATCCTCTCAGTACCTGCACACGGGATGATTTCATCGCTCCATCTCCTCTCAGACGATTCGTTTCTTGGTTGCTTCACGAACTTGGGAGTTGTACGGCGCTGCAACACTCAGAGACCCTCGCAGTGCAGAACGCTGCTGCTTTGAAGAGAGACGTAGAGAAACGACTGAGACCCTCGACCCTTCAATGGCCAAACCGGTTCTGTGGGATTGCGGGTGTGGGCGAGTGCCAATGGGTTGAGTAAACATTTTTAAATATTCTCCAACGACGCTCATGATTATTTTGAGTCGTATATAATTATTCGTTAAACGAGGATCAATATCTTAATTTAGGTTTTTTTCCCTTCAACATCCAGCGGTCCACCAGCATTGGTACAAGCAATGCCTGACTCTGCTGATGAGACATTCAATGCAAATACAGGTACGGAGTTTTTTTTGTAGTAAATCAGTGCTTCTGAAATAATTAACTCTCAGAAGGTTGACGCTAACAATTATTGTGTTCAGTTTATCTTTAGATAAAGGGCGATTTCAAAGTAGCTGATTCACAACTCTCATCCCACCCTCACGTCCTCCACTGTTGCATCGTTGTGCTGACATATTCCGTTGTTGATGGGGTTTGTTCACCCCACGTGTTGAAGAAATGTGTCAGCACTCCTCAACCATGATTTTTGGGAAACATGCATGGAACGTATGTCAATTATGAAGATCAACGTTAAGGACTTGGGAATATATGGTTCTTGAAGAGCCGTGAGGTAGGGCATGGTTGGTTTCTTGAAATTTAGGTCGGTAAGGAAACTATTGTTTCAATCAATACCAACACTTACGGCACGAACACTGTTGTTGAAGACAAGCCTTACCCTGAGCCCCTTCGCTTCGTTTCCTCTACATTTATCTCTCATGCCAATCTGTATCTGTGGGCTTTTCTTGTAAACCGCTAACCCCTTGTCCCACCTTCCTTGCCAGGTTATTACTGTGGGAGTGGTCTCTTGTCCGTTTCGCGACCCCCACATTCAATCCTAACCGTGTCCCCACACGAACTTTACATGATGTACAAACAGATAAACTGTATTAGCCAATCAGCTCGAAACTTGCCCAGCAAATCCACTAAAGGATTATTTTACCGAGTGGCCTGGGCTGTTTGCTGTATTTTGGTAGGAAATAAATGGTTGGTTGAATTTGAGGTTTTTGGCAGGTTCCCGTTGGATGGCAGCCTGCCTAATAATGGTTAGCAGCGAGTCTCTGGCTGCCTGTTGATTACTCGAATTCAGGTTATGGTCAACTTTCTGTAAAAATAAATATAACTCATCTGTCTGAATGCTTCATCTCTACAGAGATCTGTCCACCAGATCACCACGGATCCCCATTTATAGGCCAGCTTAATAACGATATTATAATGCACCTTGAGAGCTCTGAGCTTAACTTGGTTAGGGGTGAGGTAGAAATTTGGATTGTTTGGTAACGTGACGTTTCTGTACACAGTTACTTATTTGAACACTAACAGAAATAAATGAATCCATAGACTGTGGCCCGGTTCTTTTTTTTATTTCTATCACTATCTTAATCTGTTTACTGTAACTTTCCCTCTTCCTATGTCCCTGTGTATCTGGGTGCACATTTCCTGAATCTCTGTATCAGTCGATTGCATGCATGGATAAAGAAACATGGAATGAATAAAGTAATTATTAATTAATGCTTGATGGATGAATGTAATGGTATAAATGAATTAATGCAAGGATAAAATAAATGAATTAATCAATGGATAATCAAATGCATGTCTGTAAGTGTAACACACGTGTATATAGAATGTTCTATTTTATTTCACAATGTTTTTAAAGGATTCACAGAATAAGGAAGATTGTTAAATTATTCTCAACCAGCCAACTTTTTGTAGCAGTTGGTTTGAGATGGTGATGTTTGCCAATATTGAATAATACTGGTATTTCCAATCAACTAAACCAGCTTATCTTTTGCCTTGTTAGACAGTTTGCGTGTGGCACATACCTGTCTTGTCAAATATTTAGTGTTTCAGGGAAAACCGAAACTTTTCTCACCACTTCCCTGTAAAAGAAATTTACTTCAGTGAAGATCTCCATTTTCACACTGATCCACAATTTACACACATTGGCAGATGAAGATGAACCATTGTGTCATGAGCTAAACAATCAATATCCATTGATTGCTATACTGCACTTCTATGCTCCCATATCTACACTCCATTACTGACCAGCGTGGTGAAGGCTAAACAACTCCCTACAACCTGCACGGCGTTGGACGGTCTTCATCCAGCATTGGATTGACAAAAGCGACGCACAAGTACAAGACATGAACATTACCCAATCCTCTCCATATCTCCCGGTTTAGTAATGCATACGAACACATTCTTTTTTCAATCACTTTAAATGTGTGTATACCGTTAGGACATGTGCTGAACACATGCCACTCCAGCACGTGTCGTGCTACGATTTTTTTACTTTGAAACTAAACTATTTATAATTTTACAAGCAAGGCCCACTGAGCTATATAACTCTTTTTCAGAAGCGACCTGGCCACAAATGATAACAAAACGGCTTTTCGCGTGGAACTTATAGCAACTAAATAGTCTAAGCCCATTTTTTTATATGGGGGGTAACGGGAGACCTGGAAAAAATCCTACGTGAAAACGAGGTGATCATGCAAACACCAAATTTAGAGGTGTCAGGGCTGGGATCAAACCCACAACCTATTGCACACGAGGTGAGGTAGTTAACATCTCACGACTGTAGTGCCCCTTTACCTTAACAATCATCAATGAAGGTTTCCCCGAGCCGTCACGGTTCTGCAGTGCAACAATCCTCTCAGTACCTGCACACGGGATGATTTCATCGCTCCATCTCCTCTCAGACGCTTCGGTTCTTGGTTGCTTCACGAACTTGGGAGTTGTACGGCGCTGCAACACTCAGAGACCCTCGCAGTGCAGAACGCTGTTGCTGTGAAGAGAGGCGTAGAGAAACGACTGAGACCCTCGACCCTTCAATGGCCAAACCGGTTCTGTGGGATTGCGGGTGTGGGCGAGTGCCAATGCGTTGAGTAAACATTTTTAAATATTCTCCAACGACGCTCATGATTATTTTGAGTTGTATATAATTATTTGTTAAACGAGGATCAAAATATTAATTTAGGTTCCTTCCCTTCAACATCCAGCGGTCCACCAGCATTGGTACAAGCAATGCCTGACTCTGCTGATGAGACATTCAATGCAAATACAGGTACGGAGTTTTGCTTGTGGTAAATCAGAGCTACTGAAATAATAAACTCTCAGAAGATTGACGCGAATAATTATTGTGTTCAGTTCATCTTTAGACAATGGGCGATTTCAAAGTAGCTGATTCACAACTCTCATCCCACCCTCACGTCCTCCACTGTTGCATCGTTGTACTGACATATTCCGTTGTTGACGGGGTTTGTTCACCCCACGTGTTGAAGAAATGTGTCAGCACTCCTCAACCATGATTTTTGGGAAGCATGCATGGAACGTATGTGAATTATGAAGATCAACGTTAAGGACTTGGGAATATATGGTTCTTGAAGAGCCGTGAGGTAGGGCATGGTTGGTTTCTTGAAATTTAGGTCGGTAAGGAAACTATTGTTTCAATCAATACCAACACTTACGGCACGAACACTTTTGTTGATGACAAGCCTTACCCTGATCCCCTTCGCTTCGTTTCCTCTACATTTATCTCTCCTGCCAATCTGTATCTGTGGGCTTTTCTTGTAAACCGCTAACCCCTTGTCCCACCTTCCTTGCCAGGTTATTACTGTGGGAGTGGTCTCTTGTCCGTTTCGCGACCCCCACATTCAATCCTAACCGTGTCCCCACACGAACTTTACATGATGTACAAACAGATAAACTGTATTAGCCAATCAGCTCGAAACTTGCCCAGCAAATCCACTAAAGGATTATTTTACCGAGTGGCCTGGGCTGTTTGCTGTATTTTGGTAGGAAATAAATGGTTGGTTGAATTTGAGGTTTTTGGCAGGTTCCAGTTGGATGGCAGCCTGCCTAATAATGGTTAGCAGTGTGTCTCTGGCTGCCTGTTGATTACTCGCTTTCAGGTTATGGTCAACTTTCTGTAAAAATAAATATAAATCATTTGTCTGAATGCTTCATCTCTACAGAGATCTGTCCACCAGATCACCACGGATCCCCATTTATAGGCCAGCTTAATAATGATATTATAATACACCTTGAGAGTTCTGAGCATAACTTGGTTAGGGGTGAGGTAGAACTTTGGATTGTTTGGTAACGTTACGTTTCTGTACACAGTTACTTATTTGAACACTAACAGAAATAAATGAATCCATAGACTGTGGCCCGGTTCTTTTTTTATTTCTATCACTATCTTAATCTGTTTACTGTAACTTTCCCTCATCCTATGTCCCTGTGTATCTGGGTGCACATTTCCTGAATCTCTGTATCAGTCGATTGCATGTATGGATAACGAAACATGGAATGAATTAAGTAATTATTAATTAATGCTTGATGGATGAATGTAATGGTATAAATGAATTAATGCAAGGATAAAATAAATGAATTAATCAATGGATAATCAAATGCATGTCTGTAAGTGTAACACACGTGTATATAGAATGTTCTATTTTATTTCACAATGTTTTTAAAGGATTCACAGAATAAGGAAGATTGTTAAATTATTCTCAACCAGCCAACTTTTTGTAGCAGTTGGTTTGAGATGGTGATGTTTGCCAATATTGAATAATAATGGTATTTACAATCAACTAAACCAGCTTATCTTTTGCCTTGTTAGACAGTTTGCGTGTGGCACATACCTGTCTTGTCAAATATTTTGTTTTTCAGGGAAAACCGAAACTTTTCTCACCACTTCCCTGTAAAAGAAATTTACTTCAGTGAAGATCTCCATTTTCACACTGATCCACAATTTACACACATTGGCAGATGAAGATGAACCATTGTGTCATGAGCTAAACAATCAATATCCATTGATTGCTATACTGCACTTCTATGCTCCCATATCTACACTCCATTACTGACCAGCGTGGTGAAGGCTAAACAACTCCCTACAACCTGCACGGCGTTGGACGGTCTTCATCCAGCATTGGATTAACAAAAGCGACGCACAAGTACAAGACATGAACATTACACAATCCTCTCCATATCTTCCGGTTTAGTAATGCATAAGAACACATTCCTTATTCAATCACTTTAAATGTGTGTATACCGTTAGGACATGTGCTGAACACATGCCACTCCAGCACGTGTCGTGCTACGATTTTTTTACTTTGAAACTAAACTATTTATAATTTAACAAGTATCGCCCACTGAGCTATATAACTATTTTTCAGAAGCGACCTGGCCACAAATGATAACGAAATGGCTTATCGCGTGGAAATTTATAGCAACTAAATAGTCTAAGCCCATTTTTTTAATATGGGGGGTAACGGGAGACCTGGAAAAAATCCTACGTGAAAACGAGGTGATCATGCAAACGCCAAATTTAGAGGTGTCAGGGCTGGGATCAAACCCACAACCTATTGCACACAAGGTGAGGTAGTTAACATCTCACGACTGTAGTGCCCCTTTACCTTTACAATCATCAGCCATGAGCGATCCACTGCTGGATGAAGGCTTCCCCGAGCCGTCACGGTTCTGCAGTGCAACAATCCTCTCAGTACCTGCACACGGGATGATTTCATCGCTCCATCTCCTCTCAGACGATTCGGTTCTTGGTTGATTCACGAACTTGGGAGTTGTATGGCGCTGCAACACTCAGAGACCCTCGCAGTGCAGAACGCTGCTGCTGTGAAGAGAGGCGTAGAGAAACGACTGAGACCCTCGACCCTTTAATGGCCAAACCGGTTCTGTGGGATTGCGGGTGTGGGCGAGTGCCAATGCGTTGAGTAAACATTTTTAAATATTCTCCAACGACGCTCATGATTATTTTGAGTTGTATATAATTATTTGTTAAACGAGGATCAAAATATTAATTTAGGTTCCTTCCCTTCAACATCCAGCGGTCCACCAGCATTGGTACAAGCAAAGCCTGACTCTGCTGATGAGACATCAATGCAAATACAGGTACGGAGTTTTGCTTGTGGTAAATCAGAGCTACTGAAATAATAAACTCTCAGAAGATTGACGCGAATAATTATTGTGTTCAGTTCATCTTTAGACAATGGGCGATTTCAAAGTAGCTGATTCACAACTTTCATCCCACCCTCACGTCCTCCACTGTTGCATCGTTGTACTGACATATTCCGTTGTTGACGGGGTTTGTTCACCCCACGTGTTGAAGAAATGTGTCAGCACTCCTCAACCATGATTTTTGGGAAACATGCATGGAACGTATGTCAATTATGAATATCAACGTTAAGGACTTGGGAATATATGGTTCTTGAAGAGTCGTGAGGTAGGGCATGGTTGGTTTCTTGAAATTTAGGTCGGTAAGGAAACTATTGTTTCAATCAATACCAACACTTATGGCACGAACACTGTTGTTGAAGACAAGCCTTACCCTGGGCCCCTTCGCTTCGTTTCCTCTACATTTATCTCTCATGCCAATCTGTATCTGTGGGCTTTTCTTGTAAACCGCTAACCCCTTGTCCCACCTTCCTTGCCAGGTTATTACTGTGGGAGTGGTCTCTTGTCCGTTTCGCGACCCCCACATTCAATCCTAACCGTGTCCCCACACTAACTTTACATGATGTACAAACAGATAAACTGTATTAGCCAATCAGCTCGAAACTTGCCCAGCAAATCCACTAAAGGATTCTTTTACCGAGTGGCCTGGGCTGTTTGCTGTATTTTGGTAGGAAATAAATGGTTGGTTGAATTTGAGGTTTTTGGCAGGTTCCCGTTGGATGGCAGCCTGCCTAATAATGGTTAGCAGTGTGTCTCTGGCTGCCT